GCCTCAGCCTTCCGAGTAGCCGGAATTACAGGCATGTACTACCATGCCCGGCTGATTTTTTGATTTATTGTAGAGATAAGGTCTCGCTGCCCAGTTGGGTCTCGAACCCGCGGGCTCAGGCAATCCACTCACCTCAGCCTCCCAAAGGCGCGGGATTACAGGCTGAGCCACCGAGCCCGGCGAGAAAATATTTTTAATGAAAAAAAAAAAAAGAATTGCTGAATCATATGATAATTCTGTGTTTAACTTCTTAAGGAACTGCCATGCCATCTCACTTTATTTTATTCAAGCAATTACTAAATTACTTTTCTTTCATTTCCCTCATCAAGTGTAATGACTGTGTTCTGGTTCTTCAGTCTAATGAATTTCCTGATACATAATAGGCACTCAGTAAATATCTTAGTGAAGTTTTTTTTGTTCTTTTTTGTTCTTTTTTTTTGAGTTGGAGTCTCACTCTGTCGCCCAGACAGGAGTGCAGTGGCCGCTCCCAGCCACCGCAGCCTCGACCTGCTGGGCGCTGGCGATCCTTCCACCTCAGCCTTCCAAGTAGCTGGTACTACAGGCACGCGCTACCACACCTGGCTAATTTTTTTTGATTTACTGTAGAGATGAGGTCTCGCCAAGTTGCCCAGGCGGGTCTCACACCCGCGGGCTCAGGCAATTCACTCACCTCAGCCTCCCAAAGCACGGGATTTGCAGGCTGAGCCACCGAGCCGACCTTTTGGTCTTTAAATAACAAGCCTTGCAGACATCTATGGCCATAACCCCCAGGTGCGCCCAATCTCATCTAAATACCAAGCCTTTAAAAACATTTTTGTGTTGGGTGGGGATTTGCTGCCATGTTTATGGTCTTCTCTGCACTTTCTTATGGAGTGTTTTTACCTGGGACCTCCTTAGTAGCTTTTGTCTATGTCAGAAACAGACAAACTTGGCTTCTGTAAGTCTTGGTTTCCCTGAGTCTGGCAGAAGCAGACAAACTTTGGTCTCACGACGATCGATCGAGTCACTGAAACCCGCAGTATGGTACTCCAAGCCCACCCCATGGCACCTGTCAGCTAAGACTCACCTCGTCATATAGGGCATCTGTGGTTCTTTGGATCAGCCCTGTTTCCTTCCACCATAACAGTCTGTCATGACATGGGAAATGGGGAGGGACCTGCCAGCATGAGCTTCATTGCTCTCGGGGAAGCTCAGCCTCTCCTTTGAGGCTCTCAGCATCTCGAGAAGTACAGCCTGTCTGAGCTTGAGGGCTGGTGTCACTGTGGCCTCCGGACCTCTCAGCTGACACCAGGCACTAGGTGCTATTAGGTGGATTCCCATGTCCACTCCGGGCCAGCCTTGTAATCTAAAGCAGATTCTTTTTTTTAATTTTTTTGAGTCGGGGTCTCATTCAAACTGGGGTGCAATGGCACACTCATGGCTCACTGTAGCCTCAAACTCACACCTCACTGTAGCCTCGAGCTCCTGGGCTCAGACAGTCCTCCTGCCTCAGCCTCCCACGTAGTTGGGACTACAGGTACATGCCACCACACCTGGCTAATTGTTTTTTTTGTTTTGTTTTGATTTGGTTTGGTTTTTGTAGAGAGGCAATCTTGCCATGTTGTCTAGGCTGGTCTTGAACTCCTGGGCTCAAGCAGTCCTCCCACCTCGGCCTCTCAGAGAACTGGAATGACAGGCGTGAGCTGCTGTGCCCAGCCAGATGCAGATTCTGTAGTTTCAGTCATGCTTTGTGAGATGTGAGATGGGGGAATCTGAGGCTCTGCGTGTTGGTGTTGTTTCCAGGTGTGGAAAAAGAAGCTGGCGGCAGCCATGGAGGCAGGCGACGCAACAGAGATTAGGCGCTGCAGGAACATGGCGGTGCTATACGACTCTCTGCAACTGGCCCACAAGTGCATCCTCAATTCCTTCTATGGATATGTCATGCGCAAGGGGTGTGTGGCCAACGGGAGCATTGAGGGCTTTTGCGGGGATTGGGGTATCGGCCCCTGTGGGCTTTGGGCGTGGCCGGTGGTGGCTGGTGGGGGTGACGGGTGAGTGGGCTGGGAGGGAGAGGGAGCTAGGCCACGCTGGTGTTGAGGGTCCGGGCGTCCACGAGACACGAGTGCCGCAGGACACTGAACTGACTGTGGCTGAAGACAAGACTCGGTTTTGAGCACGTTTGTGTCACTCACTGTCTTCACTCTGGGGATGTGGCGAGTGGGCGATGATGTGCAAGGGGTCTGCGGAGGGATGGCTTGAGGGGCCTAGAGCTGGCATGGGGAGGATGAGGGTGGGGCTGTGGAGAACAGGGCTGCGACCTGGGCAAGAGGAGGTCAGGGCTGGCCGGGACAGAGGGCGTCCAGGCCTTGAGTTTCCTCGGAGAAGCCAGTGGTGAGAATGGGGTGTGGAAGGTGGTTTGAAGAGAGTAGAGAAGGACGAGATGAGCCTGGGGTGATTTGAGAGTCTTGCTGAGACTGAAGTTCTGAGCTGATGCAATGGCAGCACACTGTACCCTTCCGGAACTTTCCTGAACCAGGCCAGGCACCCTGAAGGAGGAACAGGGAGTGTCCTCCAGGCAGAGCCAAATTCTGCCTTAGTTCTGTCCTGCTTCAAGCAATCTTGGCTGCTTTCCTGCCCCCCTCCGGTCTCTCCTGTCCTCCCCCACTCCCTCCGGAAGGAGCCGTACCAGGCACCAGTCTCGCCAATGCAGGCTATGGCTCTTCCCAGGGCCCGCTGGTACTCCATGGAGATGGCCGGTATCGTCTGCTTCACTGGGGCCAACATAATCACGCAGGCACGGGAGCTGATCGAGCAGATCGGGTGAGTGCCAAGGGCAGCTGCAGGGCACAGAGTGGTGAGGGTGGGAGGTAGAGCGGAATCCACTGCCTCCCTTCTCTCTCTCTGAAGGAGGCCCTTGGAACTGGACACAGATGGGATATGGTGTGTCCTGCCGAACAGCTTCCCAGAAAACGTCGTTCTTACTACGACCAATGTGAAGAAGCCCAAGGTGACCATCTCCTACCCAGGGGCCATGCTGAACATCATGGTCAAGGTGAGTGGGTCTCCAGCAAGAGGAGGAGGTGTCTGGCCCTGAGCTGCAGCCAGGCCTGGCACCAACGCTGTGGTGGGCTCAGGAGGTGATGCAGATTCTCTCAAACCTTAGCACACGGTTCCTTTCCTGGCATCCAGCACCCTTGTCTGACCGTTTACATTGTTTTTTTGTAGCCTGACACTCGGTGTTCAAAGTACTGAGCAAGTTCCACTCTTTTTTTCTTCAGCACAGTACTCAGATTTTTTTGCTTTTTTTTAACTTGTGATTTTATTAAACTTATAGACACTTATGAAAATAGTCCAGCTGGGCGTGGTGGTGGCTCATGCCTGTAATCCCAGCACTTCGGGAGACAGAGGCAAGAGGATTGCCTGAGCCCGGGGTTTGAGACCAGCCTGGGCAACATAGCAAGACTTCATCTCTACAATAAATAATTTTTAAAAAATTAGCTAGGTGTGGTGGCACACGCCTATAGTTCCAGCTACTTGGAAGGCTAATGCAGAAGGATCTCCTGAGCCCAGCAGGTTGAGGCTGCAGCGGCAATGAGTGTGCCACTGCACTCTAGCCTGGGTGACAGATTGAGAGTCCGACTCAAAACAAACAAAAAAATAATCCAGGGAACTTCACAATACCCAGCAGCCTGCTTTTCCTAATGTTGATTTCTTGCGTGAACCACAATATGACCGTCAGAACTAAGAAACTCACACCGACACCCCCTGTAATGGAGCTACAGGCTTCACTTGGACTTCTTGTCTTCCTACTACTGCCCTTCATCTGTCCCAGGACCCCAGACAGAGCCATGCGGCACCAGGTTGTCCTGTCCTAGTCCCTTGAGTCCGAGGGTGCCACGGTCTTTCCTTATGTCATGACCTCACACTTTGGTGGCTACTGGTCAGGCATTTTGTTGACTGTCACTAGATTTGGGATTGTGTGTTGTTTCTCATTGTCAGACTGAGGTTATCTAGGTTTTTTTTTTGCAAAACACCACAGGGGTGATGCCCTCCCATCACATTCTCTCTGGTACCGCCTGTCAGGTTTGTGGTGTGGGGGAGGGACATCTGCAGATGCTGTGGAGACGCACCTGTGTCCCTCCACACGCTGTTCCTCAGTCAAACGTCCCCATCCGAGGCTTCCCTGGAAGAAGGACTTAAGAGTGTCCTAGAACTTCCACAGTAATTAGCAAGTGCCACGGAGGAGACACCTGGAGAGTGTGCAGGTGCCCATTTGCTCCTGAAGCTTTCGCCACTAATTTTAGTCCTCAGTGTGGCTCTTGCCTGCGGCAGTTGTCACTGGGATGTTCCCTGTGGTGGTTTTTTTCCTCTAGGGTGATTTTCTGTTTCACCCATTCCTTCTACTTTTCTTGACTCCATTCTGTAAGGGAGAATTATCATCCCTTACTCCCACTTTTTCTCTTGCTTATTTAGATCCTCCCGGATTCATGGATATTTATTATGTCTGAGGTTTCACTTTAGTACCACCCTGATGTGCTTTGCTGCTGAGTGTGTTCCCCTTGAGCTGCTAGGTGCTTCTTTCCATTTGCCACCTGTTTCTGGGACACGCCCTATTCTGGCGTTTGGTTTTGTTTTTGGAGCACGTTCCTACTTGCTGGTACTATGAGATGCTCCAGCCTTGTGTCCAGCCTAGAGTCAGCCAGTTCTCCAAGGAGCTGGCTTCCTGTTATTGGAGATTGGTGTAAAGAGCCAAGATGGGGCACTAACTGTGCTCTTTTCTCATGGGGGTGTCGTAGCTTCTAGTCACTTACAGTGGATGGGGCTAGGAGATGTGTGTATAATGACCCATGCACATAGAGCTGCATTCTGTATCTGCATGTATGCTTTTAATTAATTAATTAATTAATTTTTTGAGTCAGATTCTCACTCTGTTGTCCAAGCTGGAGTGCTGTGGCACGCTCATAGCCACCGCAGCCTGGACCTTCCACCTCAGGCTTCCAAGTAGGTGGAACTACAGGTACACACTACCACATCCGGCTTATTTTATTATTAGTCTAATTTATTTATTTATTTTATTTTTTTGAGTTGGAGTCTCACTCTGTCATCCAGGCTGGAGTACAGTGGCGTGCTCACCACCACTACAGCCTCGACCTGCTGGATTCAGGTGATCCTTCTACTTCAGCTTTCCGAGCTGCTGGAACTACAGTCGTGTGCTACCACGCCCAGCTAATTTTTTGATTTATTGTAGTGATGAGGTCTCACCAAGTTGCCTGGGCTGCTCTCGAACCCATGGACTTGGGCAATCCTCTCACCTTGGCCTCCCAAAGTGTTGAGATTATAGGCGTGAGCCACTGTGTCTGGCCTGCATGTATGTTTTTATTTTATTATTATTATTTTTATTTCTTAAGTAATATGTGGCCTTTTTCTAACCAGAGTATATTTATTGTACATTAAGCAATCATACATCTTTCAGCAAGAAAAACACTACATCTGAATGGTAAAGACATTATACAATGAGTTAGGACACAACTAAAATTTAGCTTATTTTCTGGAGAAGGGGACACCACACTACCATTCAATGAAGACAAGCATTTTTATGATCCAGAGATCTTTTATTTTTGACACCCATTAAGCCATGAATTCATAGGGAATAGGTTCCAGAAGCTCGGGCTCCTTTCCGTTCTCACAAAGTGTGCTTCTCTGGGTGGAGCAGGCTGGCGCTTCAGCTGAACCCACGTGCCTTTCTCCTTGGCTTCCTTCCTTTTCTGGTCATTTTCCTTATTGCATTTCAGGAAGCTATCTCGACTCTTCGAGTGCTTAATATGTTCAATATGCACATTAATTCTCTTGGCAAGAATCTCGCCCTTGACTTGTTTGTTAACAACAATGCCAACAGCATGCTGGGTGACATTGTAGACTCTTCCTGTCTTGCCATGGTAACATTTGTGGGGCATTCCTTTCTGAACAGTACCCATTCCCTTGATGTCTACGAAATCACCTTTTTTATGTGGCCAAAGGAACAACTCCATGTTTTCTGAATGGCCTGGAGTACATGGACCGCGTGCCCCTCCTCCTTCCCTTTGTGTTTGTCATTTTGGCGAATGACTGGAAGATGGCGCTTCCACTGCATGTATGTTTTTAAACACATGTGACATGAGTCTGTGCTTCAGTCTAGTCCCCTTTGGTGACTTCTTTCTCCTGCAGTGATAAACCTGCCTCTAATTCTGTCAGTATATTTATTTGTGCAACCCTAGCACACACGTGAGAAAGTTTCAGAATTTCTTTTTTTTTTTTCTGGTATAAACTTTTTCTTTTTAATTTGAAAGATATAGGGTACAATTCAGGGTTAAATATATTAATATTCATTTTACAGGAACCCTTGTTGTTGAGGCATGTCCCCGAACCCTTCCCCCCCACCGTAGTTTCAGAATTTCTAGGAGAGTTGTGCCCCTGTGAAAAATAAATCCACCAGCCATAGGACAGATACTTTTGTCTGTAGGTTTATACTGTCCAGTCAAAGTCAAACCAGGGCAGCTGCTCCTCCCCACACTTCCACGTGGTTCTGTTGATAACACTGATGGGTTTGTTTGTCCCAGTCTGTATGCCACTGGGGCTCCTCAACACCCTGGTGTTAGATGATTTTTAGTTTGCATACTGTGAAGTTCACTCCGTAGCATACAGCTCTGTGGGTTTTGAGAGATGCATAACGTCTCATGTACCACCACAGAGTAGCACAGAAGAGCTCCAGCCCCTTTGTCAGCAGACCCTCGCCCACCCTGAAACCCTAGCAACTTCAAGTGTGCTTTTGGTGCTATCATTTTGCTTTTTTCAAAATGTCATGTAAGTGGGTCTGGCTTCTTGGACTCAGCAAAACACACTTGAGTTTTGCCACGTTGTTGCTGCTGGGTTGTGCTGGTTAAGCAGAAGAGCCTCACCTTGCTGATCTGTCTGATCTCGGAGGGCACCAGGTGGCCTCCAGGCTTGGGCTGTTACGAGTGAAGCGGCCCCCTCCTCTTGTTTCTCAGGAAGGCTTCACCAACGACCAGTACCAGGAGCTGGCTGAGCCGTCCTCACTCACCTATGTCACCCGCTCAGAGAACAGCATCTTTTTTGAGGTTGATGGACCCTACCTTGCCATGATCCTTCCAGCCTCCAAGGAAGAAGGCAAGAAACTGAAGAAGAGGTGGGAATCTCACAGCCTTGGTGCTTCAGAAAGAAAATGGATCGAGATGCATCAGATTTGACAACACAGTCAGACAAAGGAACCGGGAGCGGGTTGGGGACAGGCCTGAGTTCTTTCTTTGGTCTTGGTTCAGTTTGCAGCATCTTTGTTTACAACCGTGTGTTCTGGCTCTGGGCTGGGGCACTGCAGTCATTTTCATTTTTGAAAAGCATCCACCTGAGGGCGAAGGAATGCCTGTTGGATGATAGGCAGAGCATCCGAGAGGGAAGAAGAGGGTAGAGGGGAATGACAAGCAGCCATTGGTGCCCATCACCCTGTTTTCACCAGTCTACTTGCCTTTTTTTCTAGATATGCTGTGTTCAATGAAGACGGCTCCCTGGCTGAGCTCAAAGGCTTTGAGGTCAAACGCCGTGGGGAGCTGCAGCTGATTAAGATCTTCCAATCCTCAGTGTTTGAGGCCTTCCTCAAAGGCAGCACGCTAGAAGAGGTGTATGGCTCTGTAGCCAAGGTGGCCGACTACTGGCTGGATGTGCTATACAGCAGGGTAAGGGCCCACCTTGCCTCCTCACTGACTCTGAGGGACAGAGGACCCTGCAGGAAGTTCTCCCTGCCTGGGCTCCCGGAGACCAAGGTGATATGAACTTGGGACCAGTTCTGATGAAATCCCAAGACTCCCTAAGCACCACTGCCCCTCAGAGTTTCTCCTCAGTTTGTTTGTTTGTTTGTTTGTTTGTTTGTTTGTTTGTTTGTTTGTTTTGAGCTGTGGTCTCACTTTGTTGCCTAGGCTGGAGTGCAGTGGCGTGATCACAGCTCACTGCAACCTCGACCTCCTGGGCTTGAGCAATCCTTCTGCCTCAGCCTCCCAGGTAGCTGGGACTACAGGCGTGTGCCACCACGCCTGGCTAATTTTTTTTATTTTTTATTTGTGTAGATATGAAGTTTTGTTATATTACCTAGACTGGTCTTGAACTCCTGGGCTCAAGCGATCCTTCTACCTCAGCCTTCCAAGTAGGTGGAAACACAGATGCACACCACCACGCCTGGCTAATTTTTTGATTTATTATAGAGACAAGTTCTTGCCAAGTAGCTTAGTTTGGTTTCAAACCCATGAGCTCAAGCAGTCCTCTCACCTCAGCCTCCCAAAGTGTTGGGATTATAGGTGTGAGCCACCGTACCCAGCAGAAACATTTTTTTTGTTTTTTTTTTGTTTTTTGTTTTTTTGAGTTGGAGTCTCACTCCGTCACCCAGACTGGAGTGCAGTGGCCGCTCCCGGCCACCGCAGCCTCGACCTGCTGGGCTCCTGTGATTCTTCCGCCTCAGCCTTCCAAGTGGCTGGAACTACAGGTGCACGCTACCGCGCCCGGCTAATTTTTTGATGTATTGTAGAGATGAGGTCTCGCCAAGTTGCCCAGGCGGATCTCGAACCCGCGGGCTCAGGCAATCCACTCACCTCAGCCTCCCAAAGCGCAGGATTACAGGCTGAGCCACCGAGCCCAGCTGTGTTTTCGTTTTATATAGCGCAGGTCCACTCATCAAAGTGGGCACAGTGGCAGTCACACAGAACAGTTTTCCCCTACTATTTTGGCATCAGGGACTGGTTTTGTGGAAGATAAGTTCTCCACAGACTAGTTGGGGGTTGGTTTAGGGATGATTAAAGTGCATAATACTTACTGGGCACTTTATTTCTATTATTATTACATTTAAATACATACTGAAGTAATTATGCAGTGCACCAAAATAAAAAAGATGTGGATGGAAGTGGTAAGTAAAATGGGTGGGGCCACACACAGACCAAAATAAGTATGGGAGTCTGACTTGAAGCTTGCCTGTAGATGCAGCTGTACAGTTGAAGCGTGTCAACTCCCACTCACTGAGAGGGTTTTGATGTAGTCTACAAGCAATTGACTTTTTTTTTTTTTTTTTTTTTTAGTTTTTGTTGTTTTTTTTTTTTTTTTTGAGTCCGAGTCTCACTCTGTCACCCAGGCTGGAATACAGTGGCACGCTCACGGCCACCGCAGCCTCGGCCAACTGGGCTCAGGTGATCTTCAGCCTCAACCTTCCAAGTAGCTGGAATCACAGGCATGTGCCACCATGCCCGGCTAATTTTTTGATTTAGTGTAGAGATGAGGTCTCACCATGTTGCTCAAGCTGGACTCGAATCCCTGAGTGTAGGCAATCCTTCTCTCTTCTGCCTCCCAAAGTGCTGGGATTATAGGCTTAAGCCACCACACCTGGCCCCAATTGATTTAAGGTTTCTGTGCAGTCATACCTCACTGCTGATGTTAACCTGTATTTGCAGCTGCTCCCCAGTGCTAGTGTCACCACCTCAGATCATCAGGCATTAGATTCTCTTAAGGAGTGCTCAACTTAGATCCCTTGCAGACGCAGTTCACGACAGGGTTCACGCCTATGATGCCGCCACCGCTCTGACAGAAGGCGAAGCTCAGGTGGTCATGCAAGCGATGGGGAGCAACTGTAAATATAGATGAAGCTACACTTGCTCACCTGCTGCTCACCTCCTGCTGTGCGGCCTGGTTCCTAACCAGTCTGTGGCCTGGTGGTTGGGGACCCCTGACAGAACGTCCATGAGCCAAGCAGCATACAGGGCCCTGTAATCAGAGACACCTGTACAAAGACAGCTCCTGTTGGGATGTAGACACCACATACTGTGGACTTCCACTGGTCTCTGCTGGGTCCAGCTGCTCTCTGGGCCAGGGTTTCTCTCTTGCCTTCTGGCTTCTCTGTCACCGTCTTTTTCTTCCTTCAGAAGAATAATGAAGAAAAATTTCTTCTTGTCTTATGTGGAGCATGCGCCTTGCTGTCCTGCATCCTTGGTGCTGATCGCTCAGTGAACCATCTTGACATCCTGTGTACAGTTTAATAAGATAAAAGCTAGGGTTCTCTCTCTCTCTCTCTCCCCCTC